CTTTTAAAAACTTTAATTTAGTTAAACTAAGTTGTACTAGGTTAGTATTAAACTTAAAACGTTTTTGGTTTACGAACGAGCTTAGGGTTTGGGGGGGGGGGGGTAATACATAAAAGAATGGAATGTAGTTTGAATTCAAAAACATTTAAAATTTTTATTGAAACTAAAGTAATATATTGTAAAGTGACAAAGATAAATATAAGTAGATGATATACACAGAATTACACATTTCTGGTTAAAAATGGAAATGACAAGCCTTAAGAAAAACTATCAGGTTAGATGTGGAAAATAGACAATCAAATACTTAACCCTAGAATACGAAAAAAGTTCATTACCCCATCATATTTTTTAACACTTTTTTGAACAATCTGTACATCAAACTGTTTATGAATCCGTAAATTAGTTGGTTACAGGACCCCTAATAATGTAAGAGTCACACAAGAAATTTATACAGAAGTATCATGAGTGTTGGAATTAATCCTACTAATTACTGTTAGGGTGCCATGTATATTATACCTTAATATGAGTGATTCCATCTCTCTCTTATTTATTTGTTTTTGTCAGTTCTAAGTGGTATTACAGGAGAAAATGTACACTTCTCAATATGATGCAACATTTAGACCCTACCAGCAGTGATCAGTATAAAAACAAATGAGTAATTTGAGGTTTATTGTCTTTATCATGTTTACTAATTTCACTAATGATAATATTTAATTTTATAAAAAGGATATTTCTCTTACATACTTTTGGGCTATTCAGATGAGATTTTGAATTTTAAATTTACTCAAACAATATATTCACATGTTCACACACAAGTTTTTACAGTATACAAATTAAGCAATGTTTAATAACTGTGTTTGAAGTATGAATGTTTTCCATACGTGTAATAATGCTGAAAGCAAGGCATTATTTTTATTTGAAATTTCTTTATTAAGCATTAAATTACCAATTCTCAAACTACCCTAAAAATCTGGTGCTAAATACCAGGGAACTAGAAAAAACAACAACAAAGAACTCACTTTCCACTTGTACAAGTCATACTTCGTTCATGGTGAATCAGCTCATTTTAGTGAGTCATTGACTTGAAGCAACATCTTTCTAATAGTGTTAAATAATCTCAATGTTTACACTTTAAAATAGCATCACAGAACTATTCAAACACCAGTAAAACAGACTTTTATGGTTAACATGATAGACAATGAATCTCAGCATCTATGGTTCTCGTCGTGTTTCTGTAAAAATGTTGGTCTGCACTTTGGGGCTATGGGTATATAGAAGAGTGATAGTCAAATCCCAGTATTTAATTAGACTAGTACAAAGTTAGGGACAACTAGTGTAGATATTTCTTGTTCAGCTTTGTGCAAATATTTAAAACAAACAAGTTTACAGAACAAGCAAAATTTTCAAGTCACAAGATGCTTTTCCAATTTTTCAGTTTATGTTTTTTTCGTTGATATTGGCTGAGTTGCAGTGAACTGTCAAACACTTGTTGGGCTTATGTTGGTGTTAGTTATAGCAAATATTCATGTGCAAAACACGAGAGATATAAGTTTTCTTTAGGGCAAACTTACATGTATTGTTTTAATTTTGTTATGATTTGATCGTATGTAAGGACTACTTTTAGATATGTAAGAGACACTACAAACTTATGTTGAACATTAATGTAGTAACAGAACTAAGCATGCATGTTTTATGCTAGTGTATCAAAGTGATAAGCCCCTGCATAATGCACAATACTGTGGTAGGAAAAATTACACTTTTCTGTTTTTAGTTGGATTTTCAGTGACAACTATCAATTTAATTTAGCAAGAAACTCCTGTATTAGATGATTAAATTATTGGTTTGAATTTCAAATATTGCATGTGGGTGTTCACTCCTCTTAAAAAGGTGTGAACTATACAGATTTTTATCGGATCTCACTATATTATAAGTTCGTAGTAAATCATTAAAGAAAATTAAGTTAGACATATTGATATTTGTAAGGTCAACATACCAAGCTTATTTTAGAATATCTGCTTACAGTAAAAATAAAGTTAGGTTTTTGACTGATGAGCAACCTGTATTTTATCTAACCCAGAGCAACATGTCTGACAGAGAAATTCTGTCGCATTGTGTCCTCTTTCCTAAGATGCTAAAATTAATGGAACTGATGTGTTACCTTTATAAAGACTGTATTTAATATATATATTTATTTAAATATAGTTTTCATAAAGATAATGCAGAGTTGGCACAAAATAAAAAAGTTTCAATATAATTTATGATGTGGTATAGACACCCTACAGCTTTGCAGAATGCGTTTTTATAGTTATAAAAAGTACATAGATGGCAGTGCGAGGTGACTTTGAAAAAGATTACGATTTACATCTTAAGAATAGTAGTATCAATGCAAGTCACATCAAATGTTCAAAATGCCTTCCATATACTTCAACAGTAAACAAGGTAAGGCATGATAGACAACAGCATGAAGCATGTCTTTAGTATTTAATGTTGAAATTTTTATTTTGTCGAGCATTAACATTGGGTAGTTGTAACAGTTATGAGTGAATGGATGACTTCTGACATCAAACTCGCTTCTAAATGCCATTGTTAATTACTTCATGTGATAAAAGTCTCTTAAGATACTTTTTGTATCATTCAAAAACATTTTTGCTGCAATGAAAATATTTTTTTACAGGTACAGTTTTCTGCTGCTATGGCTTTGGGTATTTATGCTATTGTTACAAACTGTCCTTTCACTCGCTGGATGGAATATGCTTTCGTTGCATACACATTCTCGTTCATTATCTTGTTTGGAGATTTTTACAGAAAAAATTACAAGAGAGCTCAGGTAATTCATACTTTTTTAATTTTCAAAAAGTTTGAATCTGTGGTCTTGCCATTCAGTTTTTTTAACATATAATGTGCATCTCAAATACTGGTTCAGATTACACGGCACACCTGACTGTCCTACTTGTTTCTTCTTTGATTTAAAGATGTGTTTTTTCTTAAAGAAAAAATCTCATCATTGTTGTAGACTCAAGATAAAAATGCTCTCTTACTACTTAATCCTTTTACTGCTCCTAATTCATTATATACTGTTATTATCATTATTTAAAAAATTATCTTCCACTCCTGTGGTTGAGAGTGGACCCATGTACAAGATGCAATAAAGAAGTAGGGTGTGCTGTTTCTTTTTTTAATCATGGTTGCTATTTCATATATATCTACATTTAAACACAGATCAGTGTTGCATTTGTTTCTGTTATTTTAAATATTAATGTGAATGTTTTTTGTCTTTTTAAGACCTCCACTGTTATTCCTTTTTTAAAATTTTCATTTCACTTTCTGTTTTTTACACTTAGTTGCAATAAGTTTGCTTTATTATTGAAGTTTCATGGCCTTTCCATGAAACAAAATAATAAAGTGAAACAAAAATGGGGAGCTATAGCCATGTTTTTGTTCTTGGAGTTTTATATTAAAATGTTTGACTAACTGTGTATGACCTTTTTTACATCACTAAAGAAACCATTGGTAATATCTCTCTCGCTGTTTGTTTTTTATATATTTCAATATAAGCATATTTTGTTTTCATTCTGGATCCAATTCATTGTCTGCTGTGTTTCAGTATAGTAACAAATAGCTCAAGAAGATTGTTTCATTGGATTTTTCAGTTTTTATTACAACTTTTTTATTTTTTGGTATTTATTTTATGTTATGCAGATTAATCAGAATTAAAAATTGGCTTGTTTGCACTCTCTGCCCATGTGAATAAGTTGTTTTAGGTGTTTTGTGGTTAAGCTGATCAATTTCTATTGCTATACTCCTCTTCTGTGGATATGCTCTGCACTTTATGTTAATTCTTTATTGTAAAACTGCCCAGTAAAGCTGTACCGTACCATATTACCTTATATTTAATATTCTTGACAAAATATTGGTGAATCAAACCTGATTTTCTGGGTACACCATTGACCAATTGGGCTATATCATGCTGTAGTACATGGTAAACTATTCTGTAAAGTATCTGTTTCAAACCTATCTACAAAAAGATCACACAGCAAGGGAGATAATGGAGAACCCATAGCTAGGCCTTCAGTCTGTTTATAGATCTTATTATTAAATTGAAAAAAATAATTACTCACAAGTTTTTGTTAAATTTATCATGTCTAAAATTTCAATAGCTGGCACATTATTCATTTGTAATTTGTCTTCAAAACAATTAATAGCTTTATCAATAAGTACTTTCATGAATAGTGACACAGTATCAAAAGATACAAGTATATCATCATTATTTAAATTCCCCTTACTTATTATTTCTACAAATTCGATAGAATTTTTAATGATATAAGTGTTTTTATCACTCAGAAAAGTATACTTACATCCTAAAAATTTAGCTACATTGTAAAAGGATGAACTTATATTTCATACTATGGGTCTATAGGAACCTCCTATTTTGTGAACTATCGGTAAAGCATAAAATCTTGGAATTACAAAACTACTTGAAACCAAATATTTTTTCTCTGGGGGAGTTAAGCTTATATAGTGTTTAACATTTTCTTTAATCAATTCATGAAATTTGTTAAGAGGGTTGTTTTTAACCTTTTCATATATATCTTCATTTAGCAACTCCTCAACATTGTTAATATAATTATTTCTATTTGACCTCCTTTGTCAGCTTTACAAATTACAATATCCAAGTTGTTTAACAACTTTAAGACTTGTACATTTTAATTTTTCTCCAAATTGACTTTAAAATTATTTACTAACTCTTTACATTCAGCTCTAATGATATCAACTTTATTAATATCCTTAATTTTATTCAAACCTGTTTCCACTTCTGTAATAAAATCTTCTTTTCGAAGATTTTCCCATCCCCTTGATAAGCACATCAATCTGTTTATCGTTTAATACAATATCTGATTTATTAATAAATTTCTATTTCTTACTAAGTTAGCATAAGGTTCAGGTAGCGATTCTAACTCATGTAGTTTTTTCTTCTTTTTACTGTCTCTGTTCAATAAAAAATTATACTTTGCTTCTAGTTTCAATTTATACTTCTCCAACTTTCCTGAGTACATGTCCAAATATTTTTCTCCCACTCATTCCATTTTTTTTAGAATTTTTTGATGTTGCATGTAGAGTGCCTTCTTTTGACTGTTGATCGGTTTTTAATTAAAATTTTAATTGTCTATTATACAATGTTGATTGTTGAGTATTTTAATATATTTTACTGTTATTAGTATTTGTGAAGACATTACATTGGAAAGTTTTAATCATATACCGAGATTATTGGATAACCCCTGATTCTGAAAAAGTAAATATTTTCCCTGTGGTCAACTGGACACACTTAGATGTTCGTCAAATATTGTGATTTTTTCCTTAGAAATATGGTACATTCACAGCCTGATTCAAATGCTTGGAGAAACTTTTTTACACGTACAGGGACATTTGGATTTTTGAATTATAAATTAAGTGAAATGTATGTTAAACATAAAAGTTTTATCTATTTCAAACACTCATAAATTTGTGTACTTAAATCACTGAGGAATTTAAAAAGAAGTACTTACTGCAAAATATAATTGAACAAAAATAAATGAATATATCAAAAACTATCTTTTTTTTCAATTAATTCTTTACTTACTTAGAGGTTATTCTTTAATGAGTAAAATCATGTAGTAACTAGTACAGAAGATGTATTAAGGACATACTTTTTGCTCTTTAGTGTATTTATTCAGAAGCACTATATAAGATGAGATCCAATGAAAACTTGAAACTTACTCCAGACCATATTCTGATTAATTAGAATTAAAAATTGGCTTCTTTAGAAATCACTTCACATGAATAAGTTGTTCTAGGTGTTTCCTGGTTACTTCATGTCAGTGTCTGTTGCTTCGTTATGTGTGAGGCTTCATTAGAACAAGATTGGATTGTTGAATCTTTTCTAAACCCTGAATAATTATATTTAAAGTCTTCCCATAATTAAAAAATATACATGGAAAATAGCTAAACTTACTTTGGCAGTAAGATATTTTAATTATTGTGGTTTTGATTGTCATTAGCTGGTTGCAAGAATTTTCTCTTCTTTGAATAAGCCCTAAAATATCACCTTTAAATATCTGTGTCAGTGTTTTAGTTGTTTAAATAAAAAAATATATAGTATGCTTATGCTAAAAAAAACAAAAAGAAAGAAAGAAAAAACAGTTTGAAGATGTTGTAATTTTGTTTAAACTTTTTAAAAATTTTTGAACAGGCTACATCAGCAAAAAACAAAGACAAAAACATTTCTAGTAATTTCGAGCTCGAAAAGAAAAAAGGTTTAGTTGGAAATGCCCTATTTCCATCAGGCAATAACAACTCAAAAAACAAGTTTTATAGAGAGGTAAGTATTTAACGTTGTTCAAATATATGTGCAAAAAATTATGTGTAAAAAGATGTAATCTGAATTTTTTTGAAACAAGCCAGATTGTGAATTTGCATTCAACTTAAAAATATGAGCAGAAACTTTATTAATTTTCTTTTAAAGTTAACAGGTTTGTGTTATTTATTAGATTTTTATACTGAGTGTGAACCTCTTTGTTTTTGTACTTCTGTGTATTTTTGTTTTTCATACTTGATTATTTCTCTCGATGAAGACACTACATTGGGAAAAGAAGCAATTTTTAAAAATTATATTTTGCCTTCCAAAAGCCCTCTTCTCCCCCACTTGAGATATCAGGACTTAAAGTTTTGAGATTTTAAAATTCACCCTACATAGTGATTCCCAATGACATTAGTATTAATTTTTTTTAAGGATAGGGTAATCATACTGTGTAACTTGAAACAAAAGAAGTATGTCTCATTACATGAAACCTGGGGGTGGTTTGAAACAACATCAGACTGCCACAAAGCTGTATAAAGATAACCTGTGGTATTTTAGGCTTTTTATATCTAAAAAGAATATATAGACACTATTTCTTCTGTACTTAATAACAATTGACTTCCTTGTGATACTACCCTCCTCCCAATAAAAATCCTCAAAATGCTAGTGTGTATTAGCATACACACTGTTGTTTAGAATTATTTTTTGTTGAACTCCATAGTTTATTAGTTAGCAAAGAAGTATTGAACTGTTAATCAAGTTCTTATAAAGAAGTGGTTTGTTCAGCACCAGATATAGGGGCTAGGAACCAGGGCCCCAGGCCATGGTATGTGTTTAGGGGAGACTAAGCAAAGTTACATCTACAGAGTAGGAAAAAAACATAAATTTAACCAAATATGTCCCCTTAATGTGGCTTAGTCTAGTTCATGACACTGTTTAACATTACAGTTGTTGACATAAAATGGCATATGCTCTTTGCAAAGCTTGAAGTGCTGATTTGTGAGGCACTAACTATTGCTTTTATCCAATTAGCTGGTGTCTAAAAATTTTAGAAGCCCGTGTTGATATTGACAACATATGAACAACTTGTCTTGTCGGTACTGTATATAGCATATGTATTGTGGTTGACATATGTTAACATATTCTTCATTGCTTTCACTCATGGGTTCTTATAATTGCTACCTATGCATTACATGTTAGTTCATCTGTAGACAAAGTGGTGTGCAGTAGCAGTGAATGATACTATAGTAGTAGTGAAATTCTTGTATCTCAGCATGCTCAGAAGGTTAGATTTCATTGTAAAATAACCAAATGCATGGTAGGACATCCTAAATTCACTATGTTCTTTGCATTGAAAGAGGCAGAAAATGAGGAAAGTTCCATCTTTGTTGACCAAAGTTCTTTTTCCAAGTGGGATATTAGCTTCAATTTATGAGATACTAGATTTTGGAGTAAGTCTACTGAAACAGTGGAAAATGTGCAAACAGAATCAGAGGACCTTGAATCATAATTAGAGCCCACAGAGGTCATTCAGATGTCTGATAACCAAGCACTATGACCAGAAAAACTAACTGAGACACAAAGATTTGAACTGATCAAAAAATGTCCCAAGCAAGCAATGGACATTGGATTTCCACAAAATAATGGCACAGTTTCATGGTGTGCTTTATGAAGGAAAACTACTACATCCACCTGAAAAATGGGGACAAAGTTATCCAATCATAAATTGTGTATTCTTGGTATTCAGATGGTATTTTGGTTTTTTCTGTGTTCTTTTATAAAATGTGATAACACTATTTCAAAGGACAGCTTCAATGCATGGAAGTGTCTTTCATCTACTCTGAATTTAGTTATTTTGGATGCTGATAAATCATCAGTGTTGTCTGTAACATTTTTTGGTTTGCTACAGCTTATGTCGTCAGTTCTTCTACTCACTGCTGGTTCATACTCAAACATTATATTATCTAACTTAATGTTAAACAGCTGAGACGTTTACTAGGAGTACTGTATTAAAAGTGTTAAAGTGCTTCGATATAAACTCAATGAAGTACTGGTAAATCATGCATTTCCAATAAAGGACACTGCAATTGCATTAGGGCATAAAACCTTGCATGAAAGATCCTTTCAGGGTCCTTCATAGTGTGTTTTATTGGATGGTACAATGTTTCGTTTGAAGTCAATTGCAGAAGAAGACCATTTCAGAACCCGAGCGGTGGATGCCCTTAAAAATGAAATTCATATACTGCTCACATTTCTACAATGTTATAGTGAAAATTGGATTGTACCAGCTCACATTCCTTTGTGGTAATTATTAGATGATATGAATGTTTAAATAATTCCCATGCAGAAATATGAGTGATGGAGGAACATTATGCTTGAGTATAAATGTCTAGATATAGTAGTCCAAAGTACAAGGAGAGATATGAATGAGGTTTCTTTCTGTCATTAGTTAATACAGCTGTAACCATTGTGAACAACAGTTTTTTTATTTTATTTTTAGTATCAGAGATGAGAAAGGCCATAGGTGGAAACATCTATAAGTGTAAATTACAAATATTTAGCTATAAAAATGAATGACATTGATGCTGGTGACTTGAGATTTGCTCAACTGTCAATGCCTTCTTAGTTGATGTGTCAAATTTGCTGATGGAGATGCTTAATTATATTTACAAAGAAAATTTGTTGGACCTCTTTCAGACCTTAGTATTGCATTGTATCTCTTTTGACTGTGTCTGTGGCATCAGGAGAGATAAGTTTTTCACATTTTAAGTTAATCAAGAACTATTTGCTTTCAACAATATTGAGAGATTGTTTGAGTCATCCAGCTGAAACATCCATGATGTTTGTTGCTAGTTGGACTTCTCTAAAATAATCAAGGACCCTGCTTCTGTAGAATTACCAAAGATCAATTTCTAATCGATTGGGGTGAGTTTGTCATGTTTCAGTTGTTGAAAAAGTATTCTGAATTTGTAATTTTTTAGTGATTTGCTTATTTTGTATGTGAAAGTCCTTTCCAAGCAAAGTAGAAGCCATCCAGAGAGAGGATGGAAGAGAGGAGTCCATGCTTTGGCCTCTGCCTGGATATTCCCATGAGTCTAGTGCCTGCACTGGCTTTATTTTTCTGCCTTAGTATTGCAAGTACTGGATATTGATTTATTGTTTTCTTTGAGTTAAGGTGAATCAATATATCACACTTCCATTAAGTATTAATTTTATTTAAAGAATGTGTTCAAAACTTATTCTGTAGGATTTTCAGATTTAAAAGACATGTACAAATACACCCTGTAAGATTAAATATATATATATATATCTTTCTTTTCTTTTTTTTCTATTTCAGTAATTTTTGAAGATGTCTGTTTCTACGCACTGCCTATCAAGAGGTTCATCAAAGTCTACTGGATCACATTCAAATGCTGGTTCAATTTCTTTTTGTTTCTGGTGATTTCTGAACCACACCCAGAAATTTGGTTTGCTGTGTTTCTGTTCCCTGAAGCTAACTTGACCACATGTGGAACATAATTCATTGTAGTGATTACTGATGTCAAGGGGACTACACCCTTTAGTTATTTCAACATCCTTCCATTATGCCACAAGTTTTCTTTGTTTTGGCTAAGATCTGCTAAATCACCCCTAGATGTTAGTAGGGTTTACTCATTTTTCCTGCTTTTACAGCACTAAACCTAGTTGTTAACCAAATGCTTATCAGTTATTCATTTGTCTTTGAAACTTACAGGACATGCTTAAATGTTTTTTTTGTTTGTTTGTTTCTGAAGTTTATTGGATCATCCAACAGGTGTTGTTCCTGATTCTAGTAGGGTATTTTCCTTGAGGTCAACTGGAAATGTCTAAATGTTAACCAAATGCTTGATTTCTACTATATTATGGTAACGCTGATTATTATTATTTTTTAGGTTTAATGAGTCATACCCAAATGTTATTAAATTATTATTTTTCTTGTTTTGTTTACTGTGCCATATCTCAGATGCTAGTCAAATAATTTTATTGAAATCTATGTTGAGGTCTACTGAACAATATCTAAATGTTATTCAGTCTTCTTTTCCTTGAGGGAAATTGCATTTTAAACAGTCAAGAGATAAGAACAGCTACAATGAGGTTTAGAAAAAAGAACACACAATATCATAATGTTTCATCGCATTAATGTGACATCATCAGGTGATGAAAAGAAATGATGACACAGTTCAGTAAATATGCCAAGGTAGTGTAGTCTTGTAACTAAAAAAATTAAATTTAGATTAACTCCTTCCATTTTAATTATTTAGAATATCTAGAAGTTTTAAAATTTTGTGGATAATGTCCCATGTATTTTACATCAAAGAGTGAATTTTTTTAACATGTATAAAAGTGAACATACAGTTTAAGGTTATGTCTAAATTCTGAATACGTGGAATAAACTGTTTAGTTAAATGTACACAAAGACAGCAATATAAACAAATGTAAAATTAAGGAAACTGTTAATTAAAACCATTGATAACTAAAATGGCATGAATTAATTTGTGTTTATTGAAATGTTTTAATCAATAACCACTTACCTTGTTGTATTAATTGGTCCATGTCATCAATGTTTTTTAAATAATCTAATGATTCTACATTAATGTGATAAATGCTGTATTGTTTTATTTTCTTATTTTTAAACCTCATTTTAGATAGTTTTAACACTGATACTGAAATGTGATTTATTTTTATTTATTATAAGTCAATTTTTTCTTTCTTGCAGAAATTGTTTTTGTAACTGTGATGTCTACTAAAGCATGTTATACAAATGTTTTTTAATTTATTGTACCCCTCATAAATGCTAGTTATATGTTTTGTTTTCAGTGAATTTACAGTGTCATACTTATATGTTAGTTAACTGCATTTTTACAGGTTTACTGGATTATTCTTGGACGATGGTGAAATTTTAACCAGTGGTATACACTTGATATTTCTTTAATGATGTGATAAATCAGTCCTAAATTCTTACCATTAGTTTATTGGAAGACTCAGTTTTTAGCTGGTATAGGTATTTGTGGGATTTTTATTTCAGATGTCAAACTTCATAATCCTGTTAATGCTTTTCAATTCTACTGCTCTGTTGTACCAGAATTATGTTAACATGGTTGAGTTTATGTAAAAGAATCAATGCACCACGAAACGTTGATGACAGTTATACATTTTAAAAGTATATTTTTATTATTTGTAACTTTTTAAACTATGAAGTCTCCTTTTACTTCATCCAAATATTTTCTGTATATAAAATAAGTGCAGCATGCTACTCCTGTCTTGTTTTTTTCTCCCCCTATATTTAGCTGTTTTTCCTTAGAAAAAAATTGCACATTCATTTTTATATCATCACTGTTGAATACAACTTTTGCCATTTCTTTGTTGGCAGTTTTTTTTTAAGTTAATGCATTGTGTTAGCTACTCCTACTGAACTATAGTATGACTGTCCAGTAGAAGCCAAGTAAGATACATTTATTTTTGTTTAATAAGGCAATGTAATTTACCATAATATTTGTTTCGTATTTTATTATAAAATAATAGCAGCTAATATATTAGAGTGCAATTAAAAAGTATTTGCATTTTAAAATTAGTTGAAATTACTTTCATTATAATCAGTGGTTAATAATTGGACAACTTGGCAGTTTTTTAACTCGGAATTTTGGTATTCTAATAAAATAATGTTTTTCGTAGTCACTAGTACTTCAGCACATACATTTTTCCATTATAGTCATATATTTATAGTTCGACAGATATCAGTAACAGAAAATTTTTTTATGAAAATGAAGGAAATGGATTTATGAAAGAAAGAAATGTTTGATTGGTCAGACCAATATATACCGAACATGAATGAAGTTAATACTTAACATACTGCTCCAAAGTATTAACTGAGATTTTATTTCACAATTATTAGCCAGCTTGTAAAATTTACAATGCTAATCCATGTAATCTTCATTTGCTTTTCCTGACATATATAACTATGGCAAAGAGTTCTGTATCACCCTAGAATTTTAGGAATGAGATACAATTATAAAAAGAGTACATGAACATAATTTAAGCAAAGAAACTATGAAATGATATCACAAAGGTCTACCAGATGCCATAGTATTTGCAGTGCATTCTATGTTTTCTCAAACTATACTTAATGATCTCAGGCTTGTACCCAATAGGGCACCAAAAGGTCAAGGTATCCTTGTAGGCACTTCCATTCAGCCTTTAAACATACCATTATTCAGCAGGATACTTTCAACTTCATGAATCAACATCTGATATTCTGGGGTGGTGCAAATCTTTTGGCCATAGCTGTATGTGTCATTGTGTAAGCTAAGGGTTCAGTGTTCTAGATTTGAAGAATATACTTGTAGGCTCTGGTAAAAAAGCAGTAGGAATTTCTGAGCCTGACAGACTTTCTTCTCTTGAAAGTTATATTTAACAGAAATATAACATATATGGAGTACATGTTAACAAAACATGTCGAGGAGTGCTATAATGTTTCTAAAATGTCAGTAGAAGCAGAATTATAAATGAAAATGCAAAATTAAACTTTTCTTTTGAAATTTTTCATACAGGTGTACTTTTCAAAATGATGGTCTTAACAAGTAGAAGTAAGTGAAAATAACTCATTAAAATTGTACACACAGAAACTAAAGATGAATTTATTGATTATCATTATACCGTTACCTTTATTGGGGTGTAGCCAAGTAAGCTAAGGTTTTCAACTCCCAAATAAATTAAATAATAGCATAAATAATCTATGCTTAATTGTGGAATATTGACTGGAATTCTTTGGAGTATTACCTCAGCTGAAACACTAAGTAATATATCATTAGAGAGTTAATGAGCTGGAATTTTTTGGATACTTTATAGAAGCTTAACAGCTGGAAACATTAATTGACCAGAAGAGGGTTTATTTATTTTATTTTTTAAATCAATTTTTGTATGTTGCTATGAAATATTACACACTTTTATAATCATGAAAAATTAAGAATTATATTATAATAATCAGACTGTAAAGAGAATAAAATACTGTCGGAGTTCTGAAGGTGCATAATATTTAGTAGCTCAGTGAATCTGTTCTGACAATCACCAATTTCTCAAACTGTAAAACATTCACATCTTAAGAAAGAATAATGAATTTTGGTAAAAATAATTAGTTCTATTGAATGGTTGAGCTCGTGCAAAGCAAATTGTTCAATAAACATTACGACAAACAGGCAAAAAAATCTGTGTGCATGTCATTTTTTGAGATATAATACTTTTAGCATATTCCTTATTTTTGAGATTTTAAATGATTTGCATTTTCTATATAAGATTGTTCATTTTTACTCAAATTTTATCACAGAATCTTAACTGTGTTTCAGAAAGTCTTGTATAGGGCAGCTTCATGTTCTGTTATTAATATTGTCTACATGAATTTACATGGAAAAATAATTTTAGTGCAAAAAAAGGGATAAATTATATTCCAAAGCTCTTGAGCCCGTGTATGACAATTTGTTTTCGTTCCCATTTCTAACAGGAATTCTTACGTGATTTTTTGTGAGAATACAATGCTTTTGGTGTGTGTGTGTGTTATTATTAAGTAGTTCAGTTTTGAGCTGTGTGTGTATGTGATTGTTGCAGTATTTATATGTATTTTAAGCTTACTTAAACATGAGCGTATATAGATATAAAAACAGCTGAAAGGAGGTTATAACTTTGAGATATCAGTGATGCAGCATTACAGCCATACCCACAATGAGCTGAACAAGTATCATCTTCAGAGAATGACAGAGGAACAAAGGCAGCTAAAATAAAGGACTTTCTTGATCACAAGTTATGTGTAAAACAGCTATATTAATATAAGGAGCTTGTAAATGTCTTGTATGTTTATGTTGCATATTTTTAAGACCTAGGACACAAGAAACAGTAGGGTTTACTATATGTCAGGTGGCCAATGATTAATTTTGAGAATTTCACTAAAACTGCCTTTCAAAGTCAACATTCTAAATTTTGTCTCTAGATACTTTTTATCAGTGATTTTCCTCATGCTTTCTGCTGAACACTTTATGATGTCCATTTTAGTTGTCAATGAATAAATTGTAACATATATAAGAAAAGTATTGGTAGATGAACAAATTTAATTTCTTAATGTTTTGATCAGTTAAAAATTGAATTAACTGCCTCATCAGGCTTAATTTACCAGGATTCTACAAACTTTAAACAGTAACTGCTTTATCAGGTTTAACTTGGTCAGCAAATTTGACAGGTTATTCTTATAGAATACATGCACAAAATAACATGACTTGAGATTAAACAGTGTTAAAGAAACTGTATTCAATGAAATATTACAATAGACTCTTGTCATTTAATTTCATATATTTGGAAAGTAAGAAAATAAATAATTACCAGATACATATTTAATATCTCAAAATTAGAAAAATCTAATTTCTTTACAAATTAAGTAAAATTTGTTATATAAGATGAAAATGTTTAATTCTAAAGAAAAAATTCAATCACAGAAAGAAAACACTTTTATTAATTACAAAGAACTGATTAGTAAACTGCTGGAGCACAGTTAAGTCTGGATAATAACAATAACACCATACTTCATAAGATTTATATGAGCAAGAAAAATTCATTTAACGTGCATGGTAACAGAACATAAGGATACTGTGTTTTAATGAACCATGACAAAATATATTAGCTCTTCATGTAATGAAATTTTCACACTTACAATTTTTGGCAGAAGAATACATTACCCTTCCCCAAGTCTGAATGTTCTGGAACAAATACTGCAAGTTTAAGAGTTGTGGGTTTTGCTTGTACAAATATTTAGATCATTCTTATACATGGAATTAATTCATCCAAAGCTAAAAGCATGAACATGCATTTAGTCAGAGCAATTCAAATAGAGTTACAAAAGGCAGTTACTTATTTTATCTTGCAAGACAATAAAATATGCTCTTGATTACCTTTTAAGTTAATGTTTGCTGAATTAGGTATTTCTCAAGGTTTTGGTAGAACTTGTTCTGATTATACAAGTTGATTAATTTGTGAAATAAAAAGGCATACAATCTCATTTGAGGGCAGCTTATTAATTTTAAAAGAATAACACCATATAAAACTAATAATTTCCATTATTGACTTCAGGGATTTTACTTGACTAATACGATCTAGTCTTTAGGATAAAACCCATCATTGCATGGTGTTTAATTATTTGTACTAAAGTTTTTAAAAGAGTTATTATGCCATATGATGTTCAAACAAGGAATGTTTCTTTTAGTACTTTGTTTTTTATAGTTTACTGCTAAATTTATATGATTTTCAGAAGTATAGAGCCAAGGTATAAAACAATACAATTATAAATTGTTGTGACATATCAAAAGTACGACAAAAGTAGGCTTATACTAACCGCATGACAGTTGCCAAATAAATGATTTGGAAAACAGTTTCATTCATCAGTTGGGCAGTTGAGATACACATTTGTTTGAATTTTTAAACTTGTAGTGTTCTGTTGGTTTGCTAAAATGTATATTTGTTTCTAGTTTTGTGTTAATGAAAATGTACAGATATATATTTCTTTTTGGGGGTGGCATGTTAGATACAGTATTTTTCCATATGAGAAATATAATGGGCATTTAAACACTTTAATATGATCTTAAAATTTATTTTTTATCAATTATAATTTAACATCCAACAATATTTTTACAGGCCAGTGCATAATATGGTAGTTGAATATGATGAAACAAGACAATCAAGTGAACTAGATCAGTGTTTTTCAACCACCAATCGATGGGATTTCACACACAAAAAGTATATTCTTTTGTAAATCATAATGTTTACTTGCATTTTAGTTCTTCATGACAGTTTAGGAAAGCAGCAAGCTGGTCCATGGTAGTGATATGGTTAAGAATAATAGTTGATGATAAAATCATTGTCCTCAATATTTAAATCAGAGTATTGTATAAAATTATTTTAACTTGAATGCTAATAAACAAGAACTGTATATGCAATGATGAAGAAGAAAAAGCTAACATCATGGTAATTATTTTCATGATAGGCAGATCTTTCAGGCAGCCATAAGTTTGACCCTATTTTAAGTTACTAGCTGAAGATCTGTTCCTGGAGTGGCCTGTAGCTCAAACCTAGTAACACACATTCTTAAAAGAATACTTATAGTTTATTTTGTGAAGTTTTTCTAGATAGGTAAATATCAAAAGTTTGGTACAGATTCGTGATATAGCTTCAAAAACAAAATCTTGAAGAAAGCAAAGTTTGTAATGTAACCAGCAATGAGGTCTAGATTATATAACATTTCAATATGTACAATGATTGTAAACTATAGTATAGTAACGATTATTTATTTAGTTGAAGGCTAGTTTGTTCTTTAGCATTTTGTTACATGAATCTTTTGAAAATAATGTGGTAAAACTGGATATGTGTTTAGATACTTGGAAAGGGATCAGTGTGTACATTTCTCACTTTTGGAATATAATTTTGTTTTCCTTTAGAATCTACAGACCTAAACTTGGAATATGAGTGTGTCATATCTACTAGGATTACATATTTTGTATGAATGGTTAGTACTAAATTAACATTCACCAACTTGGTGTATAGTAATAAATAACCAAAAACAAGGGGTGGAGGGTTGGAGTCTACTGCTCAGTTATAATTAACTTTATAGGCTTAAAGTACTTTCACTTTCATACCAAATATATATCCACATACCCCAGAGACATGTTCACAGTGTACTTGAGTAACTTAAAATATATATTTTTGTAGTAAAGTAACAAAGGTGACGTTTCTATGGAAAGAAAGGATACACTGTATTGCTCTTTCTTACAGTAAACTATTTTATTTGTAAAAGTGATCAAGAGTGGTAATTAAAGCTTATCCCTGGAGACCAAGCTTTAGTTAACCTGCACTGAAAAATGGTGTTTCTCCATCTCTGGTCATGAGGACTGTTATAACTATACATACATTTTTGTTGTGGGCTTTTTTTAATTTTAAACTTTATGAATTTTCTCAGCATTAATTTGCATAGTAGGTTTTTTGGGTTATATATATTTTAAAAATGAATATACAATACAATGAAATATCCTTTTCTTTCGTATTCTATTGATCAAAGAAAAGCCTTGATTTTAGTTAAATTTACCTATTTTATTTCATTCATTTTCATGGACTTATAAAATTTAAAAGCATACCAGGGACTGGGAATAACTGCTGCAGAAATCACAACAAAATCAAATCACATACAAATTAGGCTTTATTATTCACCTACCTATCTATAATAAATAAATTAAAAACCTCAATGAGTGCATTTTTGCTCATCTGACAATGTTCAGGACTCCTTCGTATCTTCTCTTGATTCATGTAGTACAGTTCCATCATTTGTAGTAACGTTAGTTATTACAGCTTTGCAGAAGAAACATTCTTTGTGATGAAGCAGGTGGTGAGATATACAAGCTCTGCAACATTAAAAATCATGAAATAATGATCTGAGTTATAAGAAATTGACTGCATCAAAATAGTTTTACCAACATAAATTATTCTACTGAACCAGCTCTTATACACATTAAATACATGTATATACATTACCTTTCATGATTCATTCTCACCAACACCCAATAAAGTTAGGGCACTGTTAATTGCACATGTTAAAGAAGAATTGTGTTATTTGTACTGCAGAACTTTTGATTAAGTAAACGTGAATCGATTATTTTCCTAGAAATCCAGATCTCATAGCTTTACTTGAGTTTGTTCTTGACAGAAAAAGAAAATTACAGGTTATTATTATTTTTTAAAATGTGGGATAGTTAATTGAATTAGATATCCCACAAGTTTACCTGTTATTACAATCATTCCATTTTTTCATAATCTAAATGTCAGTGTTCTAAAATACATAATTAAAAGTGATAATTAAATCGTTCATTTTAAACTTGTAGTTGTGGATAAGTGTTAATAAATGTTGTAAGATAAAAAAAAAACGTGCACAATAGTATTTCAACTGTTATGTTATTATCTTTCATTATTCAGACACTACAAAAAGTAGTGTCATAGAAAAGGGCTAAAAGAGCTCTGTGGTTTACTAATTTTCAAAACAAAGTGAAAACATTTTTCATATAATTATAATAAGCAGGTAAAATTGTTGGTAGAGCAGAAGTGTTGCTATTTGACTTTGAAGTACATGAAGTATAATATAATTCACTGCAATGTTCATAGTCTTTAGTTAACATTTGTATTTATTTATTATATAAACTGTACAACATAAGTAGTGAAACTGAACTAAAAGATGAGATTAATAAATAATGGTCAGCAGGTCTTTGTCCTGGACAATTATTTTTCATGTGGTTACTGAAAGCCAGTCAGTTCATATTTTTGCTCCACATAATCAATCACAAAAAAAGTCAAAAGATTTTGTTGTAAAAATATCAGGAGGAATTACTGTAATAACAATCATGTCTTCAAAATGTGAAGTTAGCTTGCAAGCTTGGTCTGTAAATAGAGACAGTTAGGCTAAGTTCTAGTTTATGATGCTTCCAGTTGGAAAACAATGACAAAAATTATCTAATTAATATGTTGCATGACAATAAAGCCATGTTTGTAAGTTTCACTGTGAGTGTAGAGATATAAGAGTATTATAACACATGAAATAGAAAAATTATTTCAAAACAGTCAAAGAAAATAAAATTTTGACCCTCCTCTTTTTATTTAAGAACCTGTTTGCTTATCAATTATTGGTATATTTTAATCTAACTTTGGCTAATCACTATTTTATTTAGTGATAGGTTAAATCAATTATCCTTTTGGTAAATAAAAATACAATTTTACTGCCTACCATTAAATTACAATGTCCTTGTCTGAAGAACTTTTTTTTTGTGGTACCCTAGTGTGAAGTAAATACTTCTCAAAGTGGCATCATGAGGAGAAGTTAAAAAGTTCAGGGAAAAAATGTGGCCATCCTCTAACACAACACACACAAACATACCTGCAAGACTGATGACCACATGGTTGAAAGACTGTTGACTTTGGACTGGCATAACATATAGTACATAAGTATTCTTCTTCTATCTCCTGACTAGCCTCATTGGCTGCTTTTTGTTGATATGTAGAAGTGAGCATTGCCATCAGTTGGCTGGCCTGGGAGAGCTCTGTGAGAGTTACCTCTGTGTCTAATAACAAAGTACAACCTTTATAATATCATATTACAGAACCACACAAAATACAGTCAGTGTAACATAGTTTTCTATTACAGTATACTTGATATTATACAGGTTGTTGAAAAAGAATTTAGTGGTATTTCAAGTACAGATATAAATTGATTTCACAGAGAAATTAAATTACATATATTATAAAACTGTAACCACACTTTTTCACTCTTCACGATGTCTGTGCATGAGAAATAACAGTTGATATTTACTACATAAACAATAACTTATTTTTAGTTCATGAATTAAAAAAATAGTATAACAACAACCCAAGGTTAACATTAACCAGTTGTTTAGCAACTACTATTGTGTTACTATATTTTCACATGTAGCATATGCATTTGTTAAACACAATTTACAGTTTGACATAAGATTGGAAAATTGTTCAAAATCCTTAGAAAAGTAGTAGTTTTTGAAGATATTAAGAAAAGCTTTTGAAATGTTAGGAACATTTTTCTTTCATAACTGGAAGAAGTGCACAAGCCAGAAACGTTGTATGTCAACTTTATAGAGATATAAGTATTTTCATTTTTACTATCTTTTTTTTTTTTCCGTTAACATAATCTAATCATAGGCTCCAGTTAAGACAGTTTTATTTTTTCTAACGGGATGATTGGCTTATAAAATTATCATCAGAAGTAGTGGAGGCTGGCATTTGACATGAGTTTAAGAGGGAGATTGATGATTTTGTAAGATATAAAGGGTGGGTGTACAAGAACAGACTCAAAGGACCAAAAGGTCCCTTGCTGTCCATATGTTAAAAGGAAGCAAAAACATTTCTGCATGGTAAAATCCATCAGTACTAAACCAGAGAAAATAATTCACACTCATTTACATGAGCATTATGTAACCAGAGAAATTCAAATACAATGGGAAACCTAAATATATCTAATTTAAACAAAAATCCTTACATTTCGCAAGATTCAGATTGCTGGTATTGGACTCAGTTGAAATAGATGCACCCAGAATGGCATCAAATGAATGGAGTTGAAAACTTGGTTCTGATAACAGCACGTTTAAAGCCAGTTGACTACTGAAAGTTTTTATTATATGTTTTAAGTTACAAACCAGTATTACAATGAATGACATGATAATAAAGATATTATTAAATACTACATATCTTTTGTTGCCCAGAAAGTCTACATAGCTTTAATAAACAATAGGCCTCATTCATAAAGATAAATGATAGACATACTCTATTTGTGCAATTTTTTATTGGTAGCTTACATTTTGCATGTAATTAAAATCACACGTTAAAATGAATTACTAGTCTTTATACAGGAATAACTTAAGCATGTTACTTTATGGTTACATAAATGATTACAGAAAAAACTATACACTTATTGAACAATGAAATTTAAAATGTATTTTTAAAATAAACATTTCACAGGATAGCAGAAACTCATTTGAAAATGCTTCTATACAATTTAATAGAATAAATTTCTTATTTGAAAACACAACAATGAAAGAGGGCAGATTCTGAGATTTTCTTTGATCTACCATTGTGGTAATTTAAGTATATTGTATTTCCTCAACTTGGATTTCAATCTAGGATGTTCACACACCAGGCTAATGTTCTACTAACTGAGCTAAAGCGTTAACCTCCAAGCATTTTTTAAACATCTCAAATTACCACACCAAATACTATTAGGCCTAATTACATCTAACCACAAGCTTTCACAAAACCATGTTATAAGACCTGAAATCAATCAAATAAATATAATAGTTCTAATCTGGATGACTTATATTATGAATACTCTTCTGCATTAAGCCACCTAACTGAAGGCAACTGATTATGGGTATTCTTTTGAACCAAAGCATAGCTCATACATAAAAAAACTGATGAGAATGAGTTATAGGTACTCTTAGGAATCAAAATGCAGCTCTACAATAAATTCACTGATAACGTCTGATTGTGGGCATTTCCTGAACCATACATATAATATTTTGTAATACATTTCTTACAAAATATTTGATGTAAGCTTCAGGTTGTGTCATTCGGTGGGGTAGTGTGGCTCAGTGGCTTTGCACTTTGGACTCATAGTCAGATGCTTGTGAGTTCGAGGCTGGCCCACAACGTGTTGTGTCCTTGAGCAAAACACTTCATTTCACTTGTTGCATTCTAACCAACTGTATGATTGGTTCTAGCTGTTAGCTGGGGTTAACTTGCAAAGGACTGTCATCCTGTCCAGGGGAGTGTCTCACCATTCTTACCAGCTTGTGCTAACTAAGCTAGGGTTCAGCACTGGATCTTATATGCCATATTGGTATGGGAGGGATTGAACTTAATTTTCAACTGTATCATTCAATATGTTAGCCACATAGATTAAACAACTAGTCTCAAACTGTAGCTATGTGAAACACAAATTAACATTCTTCAGAAAAGTAGTATAAATCTGTGAAACCAGGCCAGTCTAGCCTGAAAATACTAACATTACTATGTGACACTATCAAATTCTCCTGTTTACATATGTAACTTTAAAGGCAAAAACGTTTTTTTAAAACTCTAGAATATCACAATATTTGCTTTAAGGAGATATAATACTATTCCAATCTCTACTAAATCTTGAAAAATGTGATATACTATGATTTTCTGGGCTTACCTTTCTTTTGGACTTTCTAAAATCAGATATACAAGGATACCAACTACAGCTGTTATAATGGGAAAATGATGAACAGCTTCTAAACCACGAACTTCTAAGTTGACAACTACCTCAAAACAACCAGATCGAGATGACATTCTGTTTAGTATCTGACAAATCAGCTGAAAAATTAGAGTTCCAATATTCACATAAACAGTTGTAGTTTTGACTTACAGTTATAAAAGCAAGAACTAACAAAACAGTTCCACAACTTAATTCAATATATTGAGTGCTGTTAACTACAGCTATTATTGTTTTAACAACATAACTTGTGTAAATAAACAGATGGTTAAAATTAGCCACACTGTACATTATATCAATCTGTAATACCCTTTCATTATCAATTATCAAATAACACATTTTGTTTGTTTACAGGAATGATTAATTGATATTATGCATTAATGATTTTATAATAATTTAAACAGCGAAAGTCCTTGTAACGCTGATGTTCTTGTTATCTTTTTTTTAAAGAGTAATGATGCATGAATTGTCAAATAATTTTGTTTTAAATATTAATTTTTTTCTCTTTAAATAACTTTTCTTTGTGTTATATTTGTGTTAATAGATTTTTTATTCAAAGAAAATTATTTACTCATCACCACAAATAGACAATTAATCTCCTGAACAATTACAATTCTTCCACACAGTAGAAGGAATACTACATAGGTCATCTGTAGATCTCTTCATTATTTTTGGTATTTTATATACAAAATCTTGTGCTTACCACTTGAAAGTTTATTTCTAGAAGGTTTTTAGAATACACAATAAACATTACAAATGAACTAAGAAACTTACTCAATTAAGATTATTAGTGACATTTTAAATGTGGGAATAATTCAATAAACTTATATTTCCAGGCTATAGAACATTACAATATTTTTATTTAATTTATTAGGCTTATTAACCCTCTCACTACAAGCATCTTTTTCTGTGCATGTCAGAAGGTTTTAACAAGTTACATTCAAAATTTAATTAAACTACTTTCTTGTCATGGTATACGAATAAATGTGGCATAAAAATGTAACCAATAATTAAAATTTTAATATTATTTAAGATTTAACTTCTTAATTTTATTATGCAATATTTAAGAAAAATTATGAATATCCTCTAGTATGATAGTTATGACATTTGCTCTCTAGGTTCCCTTCTTCTCTAATTTATTTACCACCTCTCCAAGAAGTATGGAATTTAACCTGAATTACTCATTATAATGTTGTCATTGCTCAGGCAAAGCATAATTTTTTATAGCTTTCAACCTTATTTGGTTACAGAGCCATAAAATAGAAAATCAGACCTCTCTTGCCAAGCCCACCTATCACATCCTCTCTTTCAGAAGTTGCTAATAGTTCTCTCTGATGTTTAACCCTATCGGCACATGTATCCTTTACTGCGCATGACACAAGGTTTTAGTGTCTTACATTCAAAATTTTATAAAGATACTTTTTGTTTATGTTTTACCAATTAGAATAACATAAACTCTTAGCTAATAATCCATATTTTAATAGTATACAAGTTTTAATTTCTTAATTCTACAAGGCAATATTTTAAGAAATCCTGAATTTCCATAGTGTGACCCACGTGACACATTTTCTTTTAGCATGTCATCTTCCCTATTTTATCCACCACCCCTCGAAAAAGTACGAAATTAAATGTAAATTACTGTCTATAAAATCGTCATTGCTCAGACAAACCATAATTTTTATGGTCTTCAATTTTGTTTTGATACAGAGCTATCAAAGAGAAAATCAGACCCCCTCCTGCCACACCCACCTTTCACTTCCTCTCTTTCACAATTGGTTGATAGTTCTCTTTTACGTTTCATTATATATTACCTATAACCAATAGAAAGTCAAGGTTTTCATCTGTCAAATGACGTATTGTATAACGTTATATTCTGAACGATTAAATATTAATTTCACTCAGAGTACCAACATCGTTTCTGTGAAAAAATTAACGACTAGTTTGGATGAATTTGTAACGATTCTTGTCGCATAGTTAAAAAGCCAGAAAACTTTTGAGAGGTAAGGGAATTTGTCTACTTTTTGTATGTTATTACTCTATGTTCTTTGGTACATTATTTAATTAAATAACAATTAAGTATATTACTATTATTAGTATAAAAAAATTTGACAATCGACAGCAAGAAAAAAAAAAGAAGATTGTTAAATATTTTTTTCTTGTTTTTCATGTTTATTCTTTGTGTATAATTATAAAAGTAACTAAAACATAAAAATAGGGATCCTTTTAGGTTTGTTAAGATTAGATAAGGTAAAATAAACAATAATAATATTATAATAAAAATGTTTCACAAGGAACACATGCGAGAAGCTTGTAGTAGCTCGTGGATAATGTAATTCGTTAGTGTAACGTGAGCTGCATGTTCCCCAAGTAACTTACAACTTATAATGGTGCTGATAGTAGTTAGACAAGGTTCAAAGGGCAATAAAACAATAACATTTAATTACAAACAGATGTATAATGCTACGAACTTAGAGCTACTTAGGATAAATGAATGTAGATTCATGTTA